TGGTCTGGATCTTCCACTATGCTCTCGTTATTCGAGGTAACGTTGTACTGAAAAAGGTTCAATAGAATAAAAAAGTTCACAGACTAGGCAGTGAATGATTATTACCCTCAGAGTCCTTGCACAAGTTACTGCAATGAACATTTTCTGATAAACCGGATATTGATGATGATGGGGGTGTACAGCATATCTTGGGGGATGTAGAAGATATTACCTAGAATAAATCATAAATATGGGAACTCTACCAAAAAAAACATACTTATGTTTTACCGAGTTGCAGTCACTGTGGTCGCGTTTTGTTTAACCACAGATGACACCTTACGTGAATCAGTAATCACTGTTTCAGAAGTCTTATCTTTTTCTTCATCTCTTGGATGCTGTGTGATAGGTGATAGACCTCTGTTACAAAACCAATTTTTGCTCATATTGAAAGGCTTTCCCTGGAAAAGTTCAAATATATTGTTTTGTAATTATTCCGTTTCAACTTAGAGAAATAATACCATTCCAAAAAATAATAGATATACAATATCGACTATCTTCAGGAAGAATACAACATGCTTGTTTTTAGTGAAAAGATATTTGATAAGAGTGCTCTCAAAAATGTCAAAAAGCCAATTATATTAGAGTAATTTTTGTCATTAGCTTTTTTCCCAATGAACTGACATCCACAAGCCATTTTTTTCGTGCAGCAATAGTATATGTTGATTGTCAAAGTAAAATACTTTATTTTTAATTGATTCTAGTAGCAATACCAGTGAATGATGTTCGAAATTTTACCAAACTCAATAATACGTAATGTGTTATCATTAAACACTATATCCATGCATTAACACTAGAAATTTTGAGTGTACAGATACAGGAAATAGGTATGATTTCCTGTTTTCTACGCAAATGTTTGATAAAGTCAGATATGTCAAATAGATCCGATAGAAACCTTAGGAAATTACGATTCACTCCCTCATCAACTCCTAACCTCAAAATTATTTGGATAATGATCAAGAGCCCTGATCGTCAAAAAACAAAGTTTGAGCGATTTCTATTTTTTCGTTTGTGGCCCTTTTCTCTGACGCCACTGGACCTATTTTAAAAGCTAAAGCTTTCTTGTCCATAGCCTCGTAGCAACCTTGTGTCTAAATTTCATCAAAGTCCCAATGGTACTTTCCACGTTATAGCAGAAATGAGTATCATGGTTTTCCGTGATCTACATGTCATATAGCATCCAACAAAACATAATACCTCACTTTCAAAATATCTTGCGATTACAATACTTCCTCGACCGTTGACGTGGGAAGTAAAACATGATATCTCTGATTTGCATTTTAGATTTAGAATTTTATCACCCCGCTACTGTACCATATAGGAAATAATCAACACAATCTCCCGTTTAAAATTATCATTGTCTACATATAAAGTCGAGCTACTTGACACCGTGAGTCAAAAGCACAGTCTGTAGTGATTTTGTATTATAATGCAAAAAACGGAATCAGTACATATACAGGTATGTACCCTAAAAAAGATGTAAAGCAGCAGCTAGAAAAAAGCCAAAATGAGCTTTGATGAAGTATTCTATTTTTAAATTTTCAGTGATGTATGGTCACACTCAATCTACTTGACCCTGTTCTTTAACTTGAAAAAAAAAACATTGTAGCTTTACATTCAAGAATCACCTATACAAAACTAAACCAACAAGATTAGATAAAGTTTGGCGTAAAATTTATGGGGGTTGACCTTTTGAACAGCATTGTTTTATCCTTCACGCTACTCAATATTCATTGCTTTTCCATTAAATGTAAGTAATACAGTCATATTACCATCATATCCTATTAACGATTGCATAAGAGTTCAAAAAGTCATACTTACCTCAACAGTCCTTTCAGACACACTCTTGAATACACAACAGATTTGAACGTCCTTCCAGCACGATTGGTGCCAATAAAATGAATTCTCAGATCTTAGACAAACCGACAAACCCTATCCCCGGGCGCACGCGCTTTATTGACTGGAATTAAAATGATCGGGAGACCGATCTGACGTCAGACGTACGCCATTCAGCTAGTTCGGGTATTGTGGAGGACTCAGCACTGGTTTGCGTATTGAAGAGTATTCTTCATGGGAGATTGATCCACCAGTGTTTAGTTAATTCGAGTATTTTGGGAGACTCAGTGCTGGTTTCTTGTGAATCGTATGGTAGAAGAGTATTCTGCATGGAAGACCGATCTAGCAGTGTTTAGTAAATTCAAGTATTTGGGAGACTCAGTGCTGGTTTCTTGTGAATCGTAGGGTAGAAGTGTATTTATTCTGCACGGAAGACCGATCTAGCAGGGTTTAGTAAATTCAAGTATTTTGGGAGACTCAGTGCTGTTTTTTTGTGAATCCGAAGGTATTTTGATGGACGATTGTATCATATGGCTTTTGGTTGGCGTGACTATATGGTTAAGTCTGAGCTATTAGAGAAAATCGTTGATATACGATTTTATTTCAAGATTAGGAATATTCTCATAGATAGATGGTACCAAACATGAATGGTGATTTCCTTATCCAAAGATAACGTCACATGATTGTAAGGCTCAGTATAGTGATTAGGTAATTCAAGTATTTTAGGATACTCAATGCTGTTTTTTGCGAACCGGAGGGCAGGGAAGTATTTCAACTGCTAATATCACAGATTTGGAAATTACGCGTCTAAAGCTTATCATCATTAGGATGTCGTCGATACGACATAGGCTATTGGAAAAGCAAAGTGCTCGATCTGAAAGTTCATACAACCTCCTGGACATGTAATAGAAAAAAGTATTCTTGATTGTGTGGGCTGCTCGATGATCTGATAATTTTTGCATAGGTAAGTTATAATTTACGAAACGTTGGGCATCCTTCTGTCGTATGCTAGCAACGTTTTGTATAGTCTTAATCGAGCAAATAGTGTACTCAAAGTTGCTGGAAAGAATTTTGGTTATATCCATTGGAGATCCTTGAAAAATAATATAATAATACAAGTCCAAGTTAGGAGACTTCAGTAGTATTATGTAAAGAGAAATAAATGAAACTTGGCACCACTGCACGGATGACTTATCTACTGGTGTTTAGTTAATTTGAGTATTCTGGGGGACCGAATGCCGTTTTGTGATCTGAAGGGTATTCCGGTAGAGGACACATCTTACGGTTTTTAAAAGGTAGACCTATATAGCGGACTTTATATGAAAATCCGAAATGTTAATGTACAGTTTTTTGAGCTGATCCTGGATCAGTTTGCCTTTTTGTTGGATATACACGAATCAAATTTGATATATATTCGATATTTCTGGTAGGTGACTTATTGCTGGGAATTGAAAGGATTACCGATCCACATGGAGATGTAAATATATATATATATATGGTTTAGACGACAATGACCACGTCTCAAGTTATATATATATATATGTATATATATATATATATAAAATTCCAGTTTGGAGTATTTCTCTGGTTGATACAAAAACATGTTTTTTGCTCGATATTCTGCAAGGTTTGCCCTTTCAAAACATATTCTTCCAATGATCTACCAACCTTTACCACATTCTATTAGGCTCCAGAAATCAATTTTTATGATCAAGAATTATAAAATTATTAAGGTAGCTCTACAGGGTGGTCCTACCACGCATGGACAGTTTATTACTTTGACTTTTTAAAGAAAACTGTTCATGGATTTGCTGTGCTATTAGCAATTTTGTTCGAAAAACTCTTTAAATCCTTAAATAAACGTGAGGAAAGATTCATAAAAAATTGTTGTTTTTTTTAATTCTACTCTTTTAACAAATTTCCGTCTCTAGAAAGTCTAGCGCATATCGTTATTCATGTTACACACGTTGTCCTGAAACATCCAGTAGAAACCTGAGCTACTTCAGAAAATGTATACCTACGAGGCTTTTTAGTTGAGATCCGCCTGGAGTAAATGTTTTGATTGTTATTTGTGAAGTTTTTGAATCTATTTTGCGGTATAATCCATCAATGAAGCCTTTATTTTGTTAAGATCCAGTAATTTTTCATCGTATTTTGAAAGCAGAGTTTAATGTTAAATTCACGTTTTTTCAACACGATACTTAACAATCTAAAATCTTTCAAGTTATGTGAAGAAAAGGAATATTTTTTTTATATAAGCTCTGATTACCAGTTGCTTTGGACTTGTTGCACATTATTTGCTCAAAATGAAGTTCAACTAAATTTGCTTGATTATATTTACGTTCGTATATGTATTTTGTTAATTTAGAATGACGACGAACATACCGAGAAGCTGTTGAATGATTTGAAAGATAGTGAAAAAAAATTGGTAGACATCTTAGAAGGGCTTGAAACTGATAATCTGCAAAATGGAGATATTCAGGTGACTGGTTGTGTGCTTTTCATAAAAAAATTACGTTGATAGAAAAGTGAAACATATAAAATATTTTCTTAGGTAATCCTTAAAATAACATGAATAATATACAAGGTGACCGTCCCGTATCGTTATGTTCAATTTTTGGGAGCGTAAAGTACCCTTCTTTTCAAGTAACAAAAACGCAAAACTCATATATCCATTCTTATTTATTTCAAAGTTACACGCCCATGAATTTTATTTGAAGATAATAAATAAAGCCGTAAAGTAAATAAAAACTACTAAAAATCACATAAAACTACTTTTTTTTTGGTCGGAGATCAAAATAAAACGCAACTGTTTTATGATAAACAAGGCAGTTGTTCTCGGAACATATCTTTGCGAGCATGTCATTAGTAATCGCAATCATACGAATCAATCAGCCGACAAAACAGCAACTAAGAATTAATGACATACAAGCCATCAAGGTTAAGTGCAGCCCCAGCTTTTTAGTGAGTGACGTTTTCTTTATCAAAATGCCCTACCGATTTTCTTCTGAACAGTACGCAAACATGCACTTTGCGAATGGCTACTGTAACGGCAGTGCTCTTCAAGCAGTTATCGAATATCGACATCGGTTTGCAAATAGACGCATTCCTCATTACAGAACATTTATGGAAGTACACAGACAATTTCGGGAATGCGGACCGCGTGATTATCTTCGATCGGGAACTGAACTTGCCAGCAGACTTGGTTCAACAAGTATTAGATACTGTTGTAAGGGATCCAACTATCAGTGTAGGTCGAACCGGTAGACAAGTCTGAGTACCGCAAATAACTGCTTGGTGAATTTAAAAACGTGAATGCTTACATCCGTATCATTATCGTAGGGGACAAGGTTTGCTTGAGGCGGATCACTATGCTCGTCTAGTGTATTTGACCTGGATATTAAGACAGACCTGTCACAATCCCCTTGATTTTTATTTATGGGGGTACATGAGAGCTTTAGTCTATGCGCAAGTTTCAAATACAAGGGAACGGTTATTGGCACGTATTCAGCAGGCACGACAAAACACGTGCCAAATACGGATAACTACGTTATCTGTTGGCTTACGGGCGCAAGCCTCCATTCCACAAGGAAGTGGACATTTTGAAAGTATTATCAATTGACCTTTTTTAAATAAAATAATTTTTTATTTACTTTACGAATTTATTTTTAGTATTACATTTCTTCAAATAATATTCATGGGCGTGTAACTTTGCAATAAATGAAAATGGATATACAAGATTTGCGTTTTTTCATCTCTTGATGCGTCCGCGTATGACTTGCTCGTCAATCATACGAATCAATCAGCCGACAAAACAGCAACTAAGAATTAATGACATACAAGCGATCAAGGTTAAGTGCAGCCCCAGCTTCTTAGTGAGTGACGTTTTCTTTATCAAAATGCCCTACCGATTTTCTTCTGAACAGTACGCAAACATGCACTTTGCGAATGGCTACTGTAACGGCAGTGCTCTTCAAGCAGTTATCGAATATCGACATCGGTTTGCAAATAGACGCATTCCTCATTACAGAACATTTATGGAAGTACACAGACAATTTCGGGAATGCGGACTGCGTGATTATCTTCGATCGGGAACTGAACTTGCCAGCAGACTTGGTTCAACAAGTATTAGATACTGTTGTAAGGGATCCAACTATCAGTGTAGGTCGAACCGGTAGACAAGTCTGAGTACCGCAAATAACTGTTTGGTGAATTTAAAAACGTGAATGCTTACATCCGTATCATTATCGTAGGGGACAAGGTTTGCTTGAGGCGGATCACTATGCTCGTCCAGTATATTTGACCTGGATATTAAGACAGACCTGTCACAATCCTCCTGATTTTTATTTATGGGGGTACATGAGAGCTTTAGTCTATGCGCGAGTTTCAAATACAAGAGAACGGTTATTGGCACGTATTCAGCAGGCACGACAAAACACGTGCCAAATACGGATAACTACGTTATCTGTTGGCTTACGGGCGCAAGCCTCCATTCCACAAGGAAGTGGACATTTTGAAAGTATTATCAATTGACCTTTTTTTAAATAAAATAATTTTTTATTTACTTTACGAATTTATTTTTAGTATTACATATCTTCAAATAATATTCATGGGCGTGTAACTTTGCAATAAATGAAAATGGATATACAAGTTTTGCGTTTTTTTTGCCCTTGAAAAGAAGTGTACTTTCCGCTCCAAAAATTTGAACATAATGATACGGGACACCTTGTATAATTTGCCTTGTATTAGTAGAATGATGTTTCATCGGTAAAAGGTATTAGAAACACTGTTCATAATTTTCTATCAACTGTACCAATCATAACCATGTTTGTATTCTACGATAAATCTAACATCCTAACATTGTAATACCAAAAAAATATGAACTTGCGCTTGAGCTTGAAAGATACTAAACTAAATTTGAAATATAATATATTCATTTACTATGTTGGAAATTGTTACTGTTATTTTCCACCCCCTGCCTCCTCCCCAGAAATTGTAGTATTCCAAATTTGGACTGGGAACGGGAGCTCCTATAAAATACACGAATTTTATTTCTTATGATGTGACCTTCTATTCGACATTGTCTGTCAGAGCGGTCCGTAGGACCTTTGCTATTGGCTAAAGTCTTGTAAGTCAGTAGGTCTGTCAGATCTAGTTGGCCAGATACCAGACAAAGTCGGGGAGAAAGAAGGGAAGAACAAAGAAAGGAAGGAAGGAGGGAGAGCAAAGAAAAAAGAAGTGCATCAATTTGAGGGGTGCATTGGCATTGCTAATGAGTATTCGGCAATTTTAAACTGATCCTAAACTTAGTTTAGAGATTGGTTGTTGAAGAAAAATTATAATTTTGGTTGGACCTAAAGTGGCACGATTTAATTTAATTTAACAGAGCGTGTCGCGGCCTTGTGTGCTTGCGCACTTGCTCGACTGTATAATCTACTGACTCGCGCAACAAAGTGTTGCTATGTCATTCCGCTTGACTAGAACGTAGCTGCGCTTGTTGTTTGATGTCTCATTGGAGACATACCATGGCGCGTTAGGGATTGTACGCAAGAATGTTTTGAAAAACCTGCAGGCTGCGCAAATGCGTTTTGACGAGAAAACACCAAGCCGCACTTGCGTAAGCGATTGATGGTCTAATAACCATCTTGTATCGCCGAACTTTCTTGATCACACGTAATTTTGATGTTCTACTTAGCATAGGGTAGAGTTGCCGAAACGAGATTTGGAATTTAGTTTTTAACGCTTCAGTGTGCTGCCAGGTCATTCCCTTGTCAAGATTGACACCGAGATACTTAGCAGAAATTTCCCATGGTACCCGAGCTCCATCCACTGAAACCTCAGACTGGGCGTTGCTACGTTTTTAGTACAGTAGATAGCCTGCGTTTTCTAATGATTAATTTTGATCATCCACCGATTCGCCCATTCCAATACCTCGTCCATTCCACTTTGCAGCCTGTCGTGAACTAGATTCTCAGAAAACGACTGGGCCAGCAGCATAGAGATAGATTTCACAGTTGCTTGGGGCAAGGGACGTCATGAATAAAAAGTGGATAAAGGACTGGTCCAGAACCGAACCCTGAGGGACACCGGCTTTGAAGGGCCTTGTTGTCGACAGAACGTTATCAATTTTGATCCGAAATTTCCTACCCTCAAGGGAGTTTCAGGAGCCAAAAGGGGAAGCCCTTATGGATCAATTTGTAGAGGAGGCCCTTGTGCCACACGTTGTCAAATGCCTTTGACACATCCAGAAGCAAGTAGCCAGTACTTTCATTGTGGGTGAACCCCCTAGTTACTCGTTCAACAAACCTAACCGCCTGTAACTCCGTACTATGCTCAGACCGAAAGCCAAATTGCAGGAATCACATTGTGGTCTGACGAGAAATTTTCAAGGTGAAGTAGAATCACCTTTTCAGCGAGCTTAGAAGGAGCTAACAGTAGACTAATGGGGCGGTAATCCTGGGGAATATCAAACCCACCTTGTTTGGAATCATTATAACATCAGCGGTCTTCCATGCCGCTAGAAAGTGCTGGGTCTTTAGCATGGCATTGATTATTGCCACGAGATAAGTTAAGGACTTCCCTGAAAGCAGGTTCAGCGCCTTATTAGTGATTCGATCCTCTCCAGGTGCTTTACGCACCTTGAGGTCTTTAATATGACCTTGAAGCTCTGCTAGTGTCCATTGCGGAATCTCAGGAGGTTCCGCTGATGTGTCATGCAGCTCTTCAGTTGAGGAATCTGCTGAAGGCTCCTCTGAGGAAAAATCACTAAGGGAGGCGCTACTGCCACTGACGCCGTTGGCCCTAAAATATCTCCTGACGGATCTTACAATATGTTCCTCCTCGTCGAGGTCATTATCAAGGTTATAGTTGGGAGAGAACTGACTTTCCATTGCATCAGACCTCGACCTTTTCCTCTGTGCTACAGACTATGCCCCCAGGACAGTGGATGTGCGGGAGTTGTTCTCGCTTTCCGCTTCTGAGCGACTTTGCAACTTTCCAGAGAGGAATACTTGACTCAAGCATCACCGACAGAAAGTCGCTCCATTACTCATTACGGAGTTCATGAAGAGCATTTCTTACTTCATGAACAAGACTCGTCGCTCTGCGAATGTCATCTGGATGACAAGACCTCTTCGCTTGCTTAATTGCAGCTCTTGTCAGAAATTTCTGACGAATATCTGCAGGGAGAAAAGATCTGCCGTGTTGTTGTACTGATAGTACAGCTGCACGCTGCAGAGCTTGCTGAACGGAACTTGTCCACTCCGCTTGAGCAGCATCTATACTGTTCTCATCATCTACGATCGGGATATTGGGGAACTCTCTAAGGAGCGACTTGTATAGTTCCCAATCAACCCGTTTCCTTGGAAGAGTTTCTCCTTCCAAGGTTTGCTCATTACCCACATTCAATACGATAGGAAAATGATCGCATCTAATTGTCATACAAGATTTGGGGAGTGACACTGTATCTACAGTTTCTAGATATCACGAAGGTGGTGCGTCAGCTCCTCAGTACTGTGTATGAGGTAGCCGTTCCGTATCACATGGTTGTAAAGTCGAATCCCACTGGTGGAATTTAACCTAGAATGCCATGCTCGATATTTACAGTTGAAGTCCCCTGCCACAATAAGCTGACCCAAGCAGTCAAGCAGGACTTCCAGATCCGTCACTTGCAGCCTGGTACCACACCTGACATAAACCGAAGCTGCCCGGATGCTCTGCATCTCAGCGTTCGTGCTTCTGTAATAGTCAATACCACGTTTTACTAGTACTACCAAACCGCGACCTCGTCCAGTTAACCTATCAGCGCGGATAATCGTAATTCGGAAAAGCTGGGCGATCTCCCGCATTAAGCAATGTTTCCTGTAGCAGAGCCGGAGCACTATGCTTTCATCCAAAAGAGCTTGATGAAATTGCAGAAAAGAATTTGTTGAATGCAGGCTGTCTACTATTGTACGTAGCCATTTAGCGGAAAGATCGTCTGCAATGCAATGAGAGAGAGTGAGAGAGAGAGAGAGAGAGAGAGAGGAGAGGAGAGAGAGAGAGAGAGAGAGAGTGAGATAGATAGAGAGAGAGATAGAGAGAGAGAGATAGTGAGAGATAGAGAGAGGAGAGAGAGAGAGAGTGAGAGAGAGAGAGAGAGAGAGATGAGAGAGAGAGTGAGAGAGAGAGAGAGAGAGTGAGAGAGAGTGAGAGAGAGAGAGTGAGAGAGAGAGAGAGAAGAGGAAGAGGAAGGAATACCTGTAACACATTCTTTCATACTTCTTTTGTTTTCTCATGGTTCAATCCACGAACAACAATACAACAGCAACATCTTAGAGAATAAGAAATACATGTCTCTGTTCGCTGTCATTAAACAATTCACCACCACAGATAGAAAGTCATTTCAGCAGTTCTTCACAAATAACCAAATAACAGTAACAATTTCCAACTGAATCCGGATTATTTATACCACGGATTTGTGTTTGTTCTCTTTTTTTATATATACATATATGTTTTATATTTATAAATTTTATCAATAAGCTAATTTGATTTATCTGTATCCATATTTGGAATATATCATATGTGGTACGAATATGTGTGCGTCCACACTAACATGATTTGTTATTAGCTTTTGTAGTGTTCTGACTGACTTATTCTATATCACATCTGTAATCATACAGGACTAATAAATTATTATTATTATTATTATTATTATTATTATTATTATTATTATAATCGATAGGTGGCGAGGACGTGACGTCATAAGAAAATGGCTTATGGGAGTGCTATACTAGCGCTCCAGCGGCCATTGTATAGGGACCAGGGACCTGATTCTAAATGAAGCCACTTTGAAATTATCAAGTCGAAATTCTGAGGGCGGAGCATATGTTTGACGTCATACTTTGGCGACTGCTAGCGATAAATTTGTTCAGTCGCCAGGCGGTCGAAATTATGATAGCGACTAACCTAATTTGTAGATGACGTTTTGTTGTCAAATGGTAGATTTTCTGTCTCGTTTTCTTTGAATAGTCGTTTTGATTTAACATAATGGCCTGCGCTTTCGTCCATTACCGAATGGTTGTGAACTACTAGAAGAGGATGATCTTCGTAGGATGTTAAGATATACCTAAAATCCGTTTTGTATTCCCGACCGTTGGTTTAGGTTTAGAGTAAACGATTTTGGAATTATTGGATCAATTCTGACGAGACAACCACCCTGGAGGTTTGAGGAATACGAAAGTTCAGGCCCATCGAAACATTCAATGAAAATATTGTTTCCCCATTGTACGGACTAAGAATAGGTATAACCACACAAAGAGTTGGAAGAAATAGATGATCAACTAGTTTTGAGGATGATCTGCGAACGTTTACACTGGATGAAAGGCTTTTCGCATATGTGAAGTATGTATTTGTTCTATTTTATAAAATCCAGTAAAATGTATTAAGTAGCGCATTTGCTGTAGAATTTTGGCTATTTTCAAACTTATTTTCTGAGCTCTTTATACGTGACCTCATTAATTAATAAAGCAGCTAAATAATGTATTATTCTGTTTAAGTGACTGTTGTCCATTGTTCGATGTTCAGTGCTCATCACGTGTGAAACAATGAGCTATATTCGGTTGCAGGTTGTCTGTCCTTTAATTTCCGCTGGCACGACCATTGTACATCAAACTTGTCTTTATATTGATGGTGGATATGCCACCGGTGCCAACAGCATCCACCAACGTTCGGGCTCGCTTGATCCACGATAGTCTCACCTCTACACTTTATCATTTCTTGAAAACGACAGTTTTGTGTGAGAAAATGGAAGAAGAAAAGATTGAAGTTATTCTACAGCATAGGAATGGCGTGAAATTTAATGTTTTTTAACACAATGCGAAATAAACAGCATCTGAAGGCAAGTGATTTTATTTTGAATTATGCATATCTGAAAATTTCTTGGTTTTCTGATTTATAGCTCTTTTATTGATTCTCGGAGCGCAAATTCTCTCCACTGGATAACTTTGTCATCCGAATCGTCACTCGAGTCGCTTAACAAACGTTCCACGACAATACCAACTGCTGCGTACATTGCCATAATGATTTTAAATGGTACGGTATCCAAATTAACAAGTATCCATTTACGATAAAACAAAGGTTAGGTTTTCTCATATGATAGCAACCTGAAGCCTACATAAAAATGCGTCTTTTTATTAACCACCATTCAACGGAACCGGTTGCTGTCGTCATCACGTCAGCTGTCAACCATAAGTTCACCGGATCCATCAGTGATGGAATCAACCGGTGAATTTAAGAATATACCTATAAACCCAATTAATAAAACGTATTTTCCTATACATATACATGGTGATATTTTTTGTCATTTAATTCTTTTTTAATTTTGTATTCCATTTTAAAATGTATGTTTGTCTTGTCACGTGGTTACCCTATAGAGAGAGCAGCATATTTTCCAAGTGAGCAGCCTATAGTTTCCTACGATTTTTGTAAATAACTTTAAGTATAGCTTTTAAAATAACAGAGCTATCGACTGATAATACTCTAAAGATTTACTCTGAATGTACGAGCCCCTTCCCACTTCAGTTGGCCCACTTCAAGATTTGTACCAAAATATGCCTTTATAAACCAAACATGACGAAACTATTTACTTCTAAAACAATTTAGTTTCTCAAAAACATTTTAGATACACTCTAGTCGTAAAAAATGCATATTTGAAATCACTTAGACCTATAACTAATAGAACATCTGAACAAATCAACAATGTGCGAATAAATGCGCGAAGTTAACAAAGCAACAATTGAAAGATTACCATTGGGTAACATCACCTTTATTTTTTATTACGGCTGAAATTCTTAACCAAGTTTTGGCAAAAATTTGGTGTAAAACAATCCCATATTTCTTGAAGGTTTTGTCTCAGTTCGGTGATTGTACGAGCAGGATGTTGTCGTAGAACCTTTTTCATCTCGTGCCACAAAGTTTCAATAGGTGACAGATCTGGACTGCTAGAAACCCATTTCAAAAGTGGTACAATATTTTCTTCCATCCATTTTATAGCCTTTTTGAGGTATGGCACGCTGCACCATCTTGCTGAAACACAAAATCTTGGCCGGATGTCAAACATTCTTCCATCACTGGTAAAAGCGATTCTTCAAAAATTGCCAAATATTTGTTTGCATCCACATTTCCATCAATAAAATGAAGTTTTCCTACTCCTTTTGATGACATACTGCCCTAGACCATAATGGATGCTGTAAATTTAATTTTTCTTTTCAGACAGTCAACATGGAATGCTTCTTTTTTTTGCGAATAACTCTACTGCGACTGTCACCAACACAAACTTCGAATCGGGCCTCATCACTCCATTGTCTATGTTCTTTAGCCCATCTAAGCCGATTTTTCTTTTACAGTGGAGTTAATAGTGGCTTTTCTTTGGCCTATAAACAAGTTGTGCAACTTTAGGGTTTTTAATTCGCTTTTTTTATAAGAAAACTTACCTTGCAAGTGCTAAATCCCAGTTTGTGGGTCTCTCTATGAGTTGTGGACCTCGAAATTCTCCTTCCAACAGCGTCACTCCACATAGCACTTAATTGTAAATAATTGGCACGCCTGTTTTTCACGATTATTCTTCTTAATGCTCTTCGGTCGGCATTTGTGATATTACTTTTTTTCACATATCGTGGCTTAATATTAACTGAAATTTGATTAGGGAGTGATAAAGTTGGTGTTTACTACTATATATTATCAAAATATTCATTGTTGATATTTTAAACCTATAACACCCTGCTACATTTTTATTATTTGTGTTTGATAAGAAAAAAACTAAGATTTCAATAGTTGGGCCAACTGAAGTGGAAAGGGGCTCGTATATCTATATAAATAATAATTTGTGTAAGTGCATAAATAATCTCCCCAAATTATTAGATTCTAAATATCAATTCTCAGTATAAGAACAACTTTGTTCACACCTGTGTTGAATGATTTCTTATATTGAAGTTAATGGCTATATTCACTTTTCTTAAAAAAAAAACATTTCACACAGTTCACCTCCGTATTACGAAGCCTTGCCTTGTTAATCCGAAACCTCAGTAAGTTCATGTTCATTTTCTGTTCTTTTATTAAGTACGATAGCATGGAGATTGAACAGTGAGACAAGTACAACATACATTACAGATATATTACATAATTCAAGTACATACTACGAGTACATTTCTGTTAAATTGAAACTCTTATGTGATATGCATTTAATTAAATTATTACATACAATAAGCTAAAATTACTGTCACAGAGAGTTATCAAATTTCTCCCACCCATTCTTGTGTTCCTGAAAAAAATATATGTAATATGTGCAAGTATAAAGCCAATATTTCATTTTAGGGATTCTGAACGGCTAAGGGCTGGGTGATAACATAATTATTTTGGCTCTTCCAGTAACGATATGTGTATCACACTGTCGATCAAGACTTACTTTTGCATTCTATAACCATCTTGTGGTAGATTTTTCCTAGAACTTTTGGTCTTTGTGCTGCCTTTTTGTGATTTCATGTTTTAAAATAAAGAATGAAGTTTGATATCTCACAGTTTTTCCCGGAAACATCTGTGTAGTGGCCAAAAAGAATTCAAAATGGAATTTACAACCAGTGTGATGGAGTTGCCAACAATTTCAACGGTAGCCGAGTATGACGTCAGCATAAGCTAATTCCAATTGGTCTGATAGATAGACTTTGCCTCGGTTTCGAATTCGCCATCATAATTTCAACCACGTTTCAACAGTAGCCACAATTATTTCTCAGTAGTCACCAGGCTATGACGTCATTGTAAGATGAGTGTTGACAGACTTGCGAGTTTATCAGCTGAACTACGGATTTTAGGATTTATAAGCAAAACGGAAAACTAAATTGTAAAATGTTTCTAAATTACTTGGCATTGGCATAACGTTGTTTTTTGATTTTTGACAGAAATTCTTAAGTATATACATATCCATGTTATTTTGGAATTTTTCGTCCCCCACACTGGTAAGTCCATATCGTAACCAGAAACAGGGAGAAACCAGCCTTCGTATCGGCTGTCGATTGAAGAACGGGTGGTGGGAGAGCTGCATCGTCTGCTGCATCAGTGCTTCTGAGATCAAATATCCTTATGATATTTGAAGATCGGGGATGGTATCAATATTTAAAAATTGTAGAGCGGCGGGGCTGTCAGCATCATTATTTCTAGGAGTGAATGGCCTTGTTATAAATGAACAGCGGAGTGGGGGGTGTCTGCTGCACCAGTGCTTCTAAGAGTGAATGCGCTTGTGGCAACCAAAGAGTGGGAGTGGCTTTCATTTCACAAAAGGTATATTATATAAGGAAAATCGTTATAGGCCAAAGGGTTTTGGGGGAGAACTCATGCCCCAAGACGCCCACCCCCCGAATACGTCAGTAAGTCCATAAATACATACATAATAAACTACATTAACAAAGTAACAGACCTGCCTTTGTATACGGGAGGCCAATTATTTAAAAGTTTTGTGTCGAAAGGTTCCTGAGCTATGTCCTTTGCGAATCTTTATCCGCAAATCTTATTATCGTACTTGATACACAATTGATTTATGAATACCGATATCGCAATGTGGTTGCACGGAATGGAATTTTTCTATATAAAAGCATTTTTTATTTAACTTGAACCAAGCAAATTTAAATTTCGCACCACCTCAGTCGATACATCAGCTTTAAATATTTACAGACCTTTATCCACTCGATGAACTATAATAGAATACATTATAATAACAGACTAAATCCGCAACACTTCAAATGGACGCAATTGTCTACAATGTCTATGTTTACGGTTGAAATCGTTACATGCAATTTCTATAATAATTCTAAAATAGTTTAACAGTGCATGTCCTAGTAAAAATACTTTGTGAAATGACTATGAATGGTGCGCAGCTCCACATAAAAATTCGTCCAAGATATTAGTACAGAAAATGCCATCAAACTACTCAGGATTGCTCATTCCAATTATTCATCTTACCTTAAAGTCACTGCATATTTGTCTTCTTCTCAACTAAATTATGTTTTCTGTAAACCATCGACATTCATTCAGTTGGTCTGCCATAGGACAGCATGACACTGATAACTCGTTCACAATGGCCGCTATCGTGAATACCAACATCAAAATCAACAAAATTTATTAGCTACTAACAGTGACTAACAAATACCCCAGTAAAAGACAACATTGAAAAATTTGTTCTGGCGACTCTCAGTCGTCGCCGCCAAGTGGAATCAGGTCCCTCTAATATATCAAATTACGTTGTTGTGGTTACTATGCACTTTAATTCAGGTTAGGCAGGCGTTAACCTGTAAAGGCGGAAACACATTATTGTTTCGTCACGATGTCACTTTCTGGTGGCTTACCTTCACGTGACTTTACGCTATGAGGTACTTTCATATACTCACGAGGAATTTTCCAATTTCCATTTTACTGCAGAAAACATCATACCGTAGTAGACATGATTGGTTGCACATACAATCTCAAAATAGTAAATTGACGGGATGTCAGAGGCGTTCTGATATATACTGGTACATGAGTACGTCATGAGCGCTTGACGTGACAACAGTGTGTTTGTGTATATAGGGTTCCACATACTTCTCACGTTACGTGAGATTGTCAGTATTGTGACTCCAATATAAGAATGCATGGGAAATGTTGCAAATTGACTGACAGTAGTTGCAGTTTTGTGTACAATGCTCTTGTTTCCAGGCAAGTGAGCTTGAGGTGGAAGAGGTTACAGACTTCAATCCACATTTAAACAGGAAGAATGAAATCAATGTGGGAAATTCTAGACAGGAAGCTGAATTTCTTAAGGAACAGCAGTTGACCTTACTACAATTACAACAAAAGGCTGAGAACAAACTTAGAGATGCCAGGAAGATTAGTGGAAATTTGTTAGCTTTTCCAGGTGACTATATTATAAAAAATATTTTCATTATGGACAAACTTTGATATAGGGTGCCAATGAGGATTTTCCGGGCAGATATCGAATCTAGGTCTAATATATATATATAGTGAAATTGGCAAACTTTTAGGCTTTAGTTAACTCTTTTGGCGATAATATCAAGCTTTTGGCGATTCTCTATGGAGCCTTCATCAGGATCTAAAAACACAATTGTGATGCTAGCAACCAATACAGGAACGACTTAAAATGTCGAACAACTTACTCGTCGTTGAGGCTGCAGCCAAATGGTGTTTCAAAACGAACGTGGAGATGAGAGCACTTGTTACAGTTATAAAACCAATCTGACGGAAACATTGGGTTTATTGATAACGACAGATACCATCGTTATGTGTTAAAACTATCAATATACCCGAATATATTAAAAATGAATTAACGAGAAGAAATTTTGGGGACAATTACAATCGGAATGCAGTTTCTAACCTACTTCCGCTACACGTGGAGAAGGTGGACGGAACGGAAAGGTAATGCGTCGACAGATGACATGTGATGACGCGATGGAATGTGGAACTGTAAACATCATTGTCAAATTTGGGCATGAAGTATACGAGGGACGCTCGATAAAACCTGATCCTAAATCACCAAAATGCTGAATTAAATTTGTTCTGTGCAGTTCATATGAGTGTACGAATGTAAAATAGTGATACACACTTGAAAAGATGGGTTGTGTGAATTTATATTAAAGATTGTGAGAGAAAAGTTTCAATTAACAGGATAAACAATTGGGAATGTATTTTAATTTTGGGAAGACGTTAGATCGATTTGGATATGTAGCCGTTGAAACTTTTCGCAATTCAACAGGTAGGAATAAATGACATTAAGCTGCCTTTTTATTCATGCAATGATTTGTCATGAAAATATGGGACATTTGAAAAATTTGATTTTGAGAGTATTTTTTCTTTGTCAAGAACCTCAATACTGCCATAATTCATAGAGTGACCTGTGGTGTTAATATGTGATGCCAAAGCACATCTCTCTGGATGCAATCTGGGGTCACTTTTGTGTGAAGTTATCCTGCCTTTCAGTGATTCGATGTTTGGCCTATATAAACTAGAGTTGTTGCGATTAATGCGATAGACAGTGTTGGTTGAATCAAGCAACTGAACCTTATCCTTCATTTTTTACATGACTGTGAGCACCGATTTACAAGCAAAACGACAATTAAAGGAATTATACAGCCTAATTGTCGTTTTGCTGTTGCTGTTGTCCAATTTCCCAATTAACAATGAATTGTATTTTTTGCCCAACTGCTCGTTGGCAATGGCAATGACTACTGCTCACTTATATATATATATATATATATATATATACAGGGTGTCCGCAAAGTTGGGTTTTCCTTTTCAGAAACAACTACCCTTGAAATAACAAAGGTAATGTGTAGTGAAACGAGGGCGACCAAGTAAAAAAAAAATAAAGAAAAAAGTACTCACTTTCCAGTTGACGAGAAGGGCTAAGTAAGTCTGCCCGAAATCATACCGCTCCAACAGAAAATGAAATCAGCTGATGCGCTACCGAGCAGACGCACCATGTCAGCCCAAACATTCACCGAAAATGTTTGTTGAAAATGTGCCCGACGGACAGAGTGCGGATTTTCTACTGACCAAACATGAGTGTTGCGAAAGTTATTGACCCCATTACGCGTGAATGTAGATTCGTCTGTCACCAATATGCACTTCAAAAAGTCCGGATTATTGTCATTTTGATGCAACAACCACTCACAAAACCGCACTCTTGCTGGAAAATCGTCAGGTTGAAGGGCTTGTACACGTTGGACGTGAAACGGATACAGCCCCGCTTCACGCAGCGTTTGCCACACTTTAGTTTCACTTCTCTAGCCACGTCTCTAGTGCTTGTTGAGGGATTCTCGTCTACGCGATTACCTCTGCAGGCGTGACCGTAACCGTCGGTTGAAGGTTGCATACTGACCTGACACACTGACCCCGACCCAGTTCTGTCGTTGAGCCAGTGACATTGTACCACTCCGTGATGCCGCGGCTACAGGACGGTATTCAGATATTTTTGATGTTGCAGAGCCCTTTATCTCGGTTCCCTTAAGACATTGGTGTATATGGTACTAAGAAAAATTGCTTATGTTTTCAAGATCTACACGTCGTGTAAAGGAAAACCCCAACTTTGCGGACACCCTGTATAGGTGAAAAATTAAAGCTTCCGCCTTTTGTTGGGTACTTCGGCAAAATTTAAGCAAGGAGGACTCTTTATACTTTTTTTAAATTTGCTTAAATTTTGTCGAAGTACCCAACAAAAGGCGGAAGCTTTAATTTTTTCACCTAACTGGTCTAGACGACAATTACCACGTCTCAAGTTATATATATATAGTTGGGTACAAAATACAATTACTTGTTAATTGGGAAATTGGCAAAACTTTTAGGCTTAAGTTGACTCTTTTGACGATAAAATCAAGCTTTCGGCATTCTCTATGAAGCCATCATCAGGATTCTGAAAACACAATTGTGATGCTAGCAAAGAAAACAGAACAGATTTAAAATGTCAGACAACTTACTCGTCGGTGAGGTTGCAGCCACAAGGTGTTTCAGAAAGAACGTAGAGAAGATCGAACTTGTGATCAGTATAAAAACAAAAGGACGGGGACATTGGGCTTGTTGAAAAACGACAGATACCTTCGTTAAAAGTTAAGAAAAAATAAAAATTATATCAATACACCCGAACAAGTTAAAAATATTACACGTGGGGAGACATTTTGTTGAAACAATCGGAATGCAGTCCCTAACCTTCTACAACCGCTACACGTGGAGAGGGGGAAAGGCACGGAAAGGTAAAGCGTTGACAGATGACAAGTGATTGACGCGACGGAGCGTGGAAATGTACACCTCCCTGTCCAACTTTGGGTATGAAGTATACGAGGGACGCTCGGTAAATCTCCACCCAAAATTACTAAAATGCTGAAATAACTTGTTTTGGAAAAAAGTGTGTGGTTCATATGAGTGCAAGAATGTGTGATATTGATACAACCTTGAAAAGATGGGTTATGTGAGTTTATATTAAAAATGTGAGCGAGAAAAAATGTATTCTAATTTTTGTGAAGATGTTGGATCAAGTTGGACATGTAGCCGTTCTAGCTTTTCGCAATTCAACAGGTAGGAATAAATGACACTGAGCTGCTTAACATCAGCCTTTTTATTCATGCAATGATCTGTCATGAAAATGTGGGGCATTTCTAAAAATAAACGTTTTGAGAGTCTTTTTTCTTTATCAAGAACCTCAATACTGCCATAATTCATAGAGTGACCTGTGTTGTTAATATGCGACGCCAAAGTACATCTTTCTGGATGTAATCTGGCATCACTTTTGTGTGACGTTATCCTGCCTTTCAGCGACCTAGAAGTTTGGCCTATATAAATTAAATTGCAGTTGTTGCAATTAATACGATAGACAGTATTGGTTGAATCAAGCAACTGAACCTTATCTTTCATTTTGGACAACAAACTGTTGACTGTGAGAACTGATTTACAAGCAAAACGACAATTAAAGGAATTATACAGCCTGATAAATGTTGGTGTTTGATGTATGGCAAAACAACATAATTAACTCTGGAAATAGGAGCAACCACTGTAGTGCTGTTGTTCTCATTTGTTGAAGAATTAATGGGTATCTGGTTGGATTGACCCGTGTTGTCATTTTCACTATTGTTATTAGTGATTGGCAAAATATTCGGAGGAGAGCTGAACAAGATTCTGTTAACCAAATACTTAGGATAGCCATTGTTGATAAATAAGACTGAAAGCTTCCTTAAATTGGAAAGATGGAAAGTACTGTCAGAGATTTTTATAACCCTGTTCTTCATTTGTTTCACCAGGTTTATTTTTATTTTAAGTTCATGGTAAGACCTGAAGTTCAGGAACCTTCCGGAAGAAATTGGTTTCCTGTACCAGTCTACCAGTAATATATTGTCATTGGTACGAATCAATCTTGAATCCAGAAAGGGAACAGATTGATTGTCATCTTCTTTTTCGATGGTGAACTGGATGTAGGGATCATAACTGTTAAAAACCTCAACAATATCATCCACCCTATCATAAGGAAGACAAACGATTGTATCGTCCACATACTTTTTAATGAAAATTAGATTGTATGGCAATACTTGAATAACAACATCAAGCAGGTCATCCATTACATATTCTGCCAAAATTGGAGATAAAACAGAGCCCATGGGGCAGCCATGTGTTTGTGAAAACACTTTGTTATTAAAGGTAAAATAATTGGTCTGGAAAAGGTACTCTACGATATTGATGAAAGAATCCAGAGTTAGGTTGCTGTGTTGGCAAATTAGATCCCAATGTTTGTTGATGAATCTGATGCAAGCTTCTAAATACACATTGCTGAACAGTGAAACTACATCTAAACTCGCAATAACATGATCAGGGGGTATTTGAAATCTATTAAATTGTTGACAAACATCAAACGAGTCTTTTATAAAGTACTCTCCTTTGATGTGAGCTGACTTTAGAGTATCTGCAATTAATGAAGATAAAGCTAGTGTGGCTGATTCAACATTAATTATGTTGTCTTGCCATAAATCAAAGAATTAACACCAAGATTGATCAGGCTGTATAATTCCTCTAATTGTCGGTTTGCTTGCAAATCAGTGCTTACAGTCAACAGTTTGTTTTCCAAAATGAAGGATAGGGTTTAGTTACTTGATTCAACCAACACTGTCTATCGCATTAATTGTAATAACTGTAATTTAGTTTATATAGGCCAAACATCGAGATCACTGAACGGCAGGATAACCTCACACAAAAGTGACGCCAGATTACATCCAGAGAGATGTGCTTTGGCATCACATATTAACACCACATGTCATTCTATGAATTATGGCAGTATTGAGGTTCTGGACAAGGAAAAAAAAACTCTCAAAACGTCTATTTTTAGAAATGTCCCAGATTTTCATGCCAGATCATTGCATGAATATAAAGGCTGAGCTTAAGCAGCTTAGTGTCATTTGTTCCTACTTATTGAATTGCGAAAACTTAGAACGTCTGCATATCCCAGTCGATCTAACGTCCTCCCAAAATTAAACACTATTCCAATTGTTTTTCCTGTTAATTGAAACACTTCCCTCACGTAAATAATAAAAAAATTTTAATATTATTTCACATAATTTCAAATTTAATATAATTTAATTTAATATATTTCACACAACCCATCTTTTCAAGCGTCTTACACTCGTACACTCATATGAACACACACTTTTTCCAGAACAAATTAATTCAGAAATTTGGTAATTAGGATGAGGTTTTACCGAGCGTCCCTCGTACACCTGAAATTTGGCAATGATGTTTACAGTTCTACATTCTTTCGCGACAATGACCAGTCATCTGTCGACGCATCATTCTTCCGGTCCGCTGATCTTCTCCACGTGAAGCAAATGTAGGAGGTTAGAAGGGACGTTCCGGTTTTTGTCCCCAAAATTCCTTTTCGTTAATTTTCAATGTGTTCGGGTGTATTGATATACAGGGTGTAAACGTTATGATAGTCATTATTTAAATGAGTGATAGAAGGGGTTAAAAGAAGCAAAAAGTTTCCTATAACATGCGGGTCAAAACGGCATTTTTTTAGAGAAAAGCGACTTTAAAGTAAAATAAAATCTGACAACGCCGCAATGCCAGGCGTAAATTGCGACGGAACGCAGTGTAAATAAAGATTGAGTTTGTTATTTTTGGCTCTTGGATATTATTTCATTATTTGATAATGTACTCGTAAAATGCAAACAATGAAAAAAACGGACTTACCACTAACTGTCTCAGCGCTTCACCTGGTGTGTGAAAGTTTATTAAACGTATTAAAAAAAAACACTTATAAATAGGGAACACAATTTTGATACATACATTGTTTTTCTTTTTAAAACCCACACTGCACTTTTTTTGTATGTTCAAAATGTCGTCCTCCACTTTCCACACAAGCTTCCTTACGATGAACCCAGTTTCTTCTTACTCTAGGTCCTCGAAGTGGTCCATTTATTATTTCAGCCGCATTAAAATTTTTTTCGCGAACTTGTGCTTCAGTTGTTATTGAAGCAGCCCCATAAGCCATCCCTTTAAGTTCTCCCCAATACCAGAGGTCAGGAGATCTTGCTGGCCATTTTCGGGGATCAGGAGCATTTCGACCGATCCAGCAATTTGGATAATGTTCATTCAAATACTGAAAGACGTCTCTAAAAATGTGTGGTGGTGCCCCGTCATGAAGAAACCACAAATTCTGTCTCCGTTGTAATGGCATGTTGTCTAAGGTCTGTTTCAAAAGTTCTGGTAGGTTATTGGCTAGAAAGCTGAGGTATCCTTCTCCTGACAACTTTGGGGGTAACTCGAAAGGGCCAATTACCTGATCCTCAAGAATACCCGCCCAAATATTTAATTTAAAACGTTGTTGGAAAATGACCTTCACGAATGGTATGAGGATTTTCTTGGGCCCACGTATGAGTATTATGGACATTTAATATCCCGTCTCGTGTAAAATTACATATTCGTCCGCCGCTAGAGTATTTTTGAAAAAATCCTGATTTCCAATGTTCTTGTGCAAAAACCACTGACAGAATGTTAGTCCGTGAGGATAGTCTTCCGGTAACAAGGCCTGCACTCGTTGTACATGGTAGGAATAAAGCAAATTTTCCCGTAGGATTCTATGGACTATGGTATGCGATAGTCCTACGTGGCGGCCTAATTCCCGAGTGCTGATAACTGCATTGATTTCCACGATATTTGAAATTTGTTCCTCCTGCTCTACAGTAACCTATCTCTCACGAGTGCGAATATTAGTGGGCTGAACACTTCCTATATCTCGAAGTCTTTGGTACACTTGCACAAATGTCCTGTCTGGGTGTACCCGTTGGCGAAATCTGTCGCGATAAATTTGAGCTGCAAGATTTGAATTCTGACGAGTTTCACCGTAAACTAACATCATGTCGGCGAACTCTTGATTCGAGAACATTGTAAAAATAAACACGACGACGTACGCCAACAAAAACAAAACAACATACTAACCACTGTTACCGTTTGCGATCGATTGCCGGTTCGATAAGAGTGATCAAAAACCGACGGCGCTGTTGTCATGTGTGTTTTAAATATTTAATTTAATGAAACTTACTTACTGACTACAAATTTTGGCTTAACATAGAAGAACTTAATGCCATTTATTTGTTAATTACCCAATTTAAAAACGTTTTAGATTAGATTATAAAAATAGTAAGATTGTGGTGATTGTGGTCGATATAAACCACTTAAAGTTGTAAACTATAAAGCCATTTAGACAAAAATCTATTGACTTTTGGACCATGGGTCATATGAACTTTTTGACTTGTTTTGACCCCCCTATTCCCCATTTCAATAATGACTACCATAACGTTTACACCCTGTATAGTGTTAACACCTAACGATGGTTTCCGTCTTTATCAATAAGCCCAATGTGTCCGTCCGGTTGGTTTTATATTTGTAACAAGTGCTCTCATCCCCGCGTTCGTTTTGAAACACCATTTGGCTGCAATCTCAACGACAAGTAAGTTGTTTTACAATTTAAATCTTTCCTGTATTGGTTGCTAGCATGCTAATTGTGTTTTCAGCTCCTGAAGAAGGCTCCATAGATAATTGCCGAAAGCTTGAGATTACCGTTAAAAGAGTTTATTAAAGCCTAAAAAAGTTTGCCAATTCCCCAACGAATAATTAATTGTATTTTTTGCCCAACTGGTCCTTGACAATGGCAAGGACTACTGCTATATATATATATATTTAATAGGAAATCAAACGAATTGTGTTTCAAACACAATGACCAGCAATGGTTATGATGATTTTGACGTGGCTATAAGAGAACTGGAAGAGAAAACGAAAACTTTAGGTCCCACTGCATCGGCTAACAAAAAGATGCAAGAAAACATCGTAGCTAGAGTGGAAAGCCTCCATAATCAAATTGTCAGCATGCATGATGCGAACGAAGAACGGGAAAAATTGATTGAGGTATGTTGGTGCGTATGTCGCACATAACTCGCTTAATTAGCTGTTCAATTAATACTCTAGCATTTTTACTAAACGTACAATAAGCCAACTATGTGACGCTAAATGATAATACATATATTAGAAATTTATATTGTCAGCGGGTGGGTTTCAGCGCCATCTAACTCCGCTTTACCAATTCATATACCTCGGAGCGAGCAGCATCAAGACAGCGTTGCAGTTTACAATTCCTATGCCGTTTAAGTTGTATTCGCTGGGAGCGAAATGTATCGTGGGGGAAACTAAATCAATCGCCGCGCACGCGGTGGACAAAAAGGGAGACATCGTCGGTCCGATAGTGGAATATAGGCGTGGCTTATGCAGGGTGTTCCATACTTAAATTGACATAGTGAAATGTTAGGTAGTATGGACCGAGAACTTTTCATATCTGAAATGCATTACATATTGCAAATATACATATATATGCATGCCAACTGATTCGATTCTGTTGAAATTTTGTGCGGTAACAAAATCGGTATTAGAGTAACGTGAAGCTATACGGACGGTTAAAAAGTTAGGTTCAGGCTCGATTTTTAACTTGGTTTTTATCAGAATCAGTATCTTTTAATTGAAGTGTTTGACTATGTACAAAAAATAGATTTTCTGCTCAATTTTGTTTTTTAGTAAACAAATTTTATTTTTTTTGTTTTTAATTGTTTTAAGTAGGCTTTGCAAATAAATGCTTGACTTACCTGTCAGCGAGTATTGTTATCATTATGTATTATTAATATTGTTTTATTATCATCAAACATGCCAGGTGGTTCGACATGCTGACGTGCAACATTTTGTGCTAGAAAAATTACTACAGAACTGTATCTTGATAAATTTTCCGAAAGAAGGCAACCAAGTAAGTCCATTTTCTTAGAGTCTGCTCGAAATTTAAATGAATATGGATGATTCAGAAAGCCTGTTACGTCTCAAAAAAAAGAAGCTTTAGAGGAAACTCTAGTATTTTACAAGCAGTTGTTGAGAGTTTTGAGATATCAACTAGGCAAATTGAGAAAAATGTGAGAGCAAAATCCACAGCGCAATTGATTTTGCGGAAAAAAAGAGATCACCTATATAAATTTAGGATTTGCCTAGGGACTTAGACCAGGAGATAGCTAACGGCGCCAGCATTTTTGTGAGTGGTACACGCGAACGTGTGTGTATCAATTCTTAAATAATATGGTCCGACCAGAGTATAGTCACTAATAATGTTATATTTAAACGCCGCAACACTTATTACTGGGATTAAGAAAATCTGCGGACCAAAAAAGTATCCAGAGATCAAGAACAAGATGTGTTCCTTCACATAACCCTAGACAAGTTCGAGAGTATCTTTCTCAGCGATTTCCCGGAAGGTGAAGTGTCCTGGCCAGCGCGTTCCTAAGATTTAAGTCCTCTGGACTTTTTTGTTTGGGGTTTTATTAAAAAGATTATCAGCATACTTGTGAAACGGAGCAACAGTGCATTTAGTATGATTACACCAGAAATGTTACGTGATATTTTGGATTCTATTGTTAGATCATTTTATGTTTATAAAATAATGGAAACCTATTTGAATACCGATTATGAATAAAATAAAAATGACGTTGAATATGGTTTCGTTATTTTGAATATCACTAGATTAAGCATCATTTTGTAAAATTATATCAATATGCATCTATCAGTAATCACATAATCTTACATCAAGCATTGGTTTGCAAAGCCTACCTAAATAAAAAACCAAATTTTTGATGCCGGGTGTAAAAAGTGCCAATGAAAAAGATCCATATTTTTTATATCCTTTGAAATAGAGTCAGAAAAAATAAAAACGATTTGGACATATTTTGGTTTTACATTTTACAACCAATACATAAAAAAATCGTTTCTTACACTGCACCAGCAATAGAGTCTGGGATATTTTAACTTTTATAGTAAAAATAAGTCTTTTCTTGCGTTTTTTTAAACACACCTTGTATATTTTAAAGTGGTATTCAGTTCTACATTGTCTGGCTTGAAAAATGATTGCCAGATCGTTTCTTTTGGAAAAAATTGATTTGCGTATTTGATGTAAAGTACTATAAAAAGCTTGAATCCGTTCTTCTTTGAAATTACCGTAGTGTTAACGGAATTTGACATTGACGATTATGTAACATATATTAGGGAAGTAACACCACAACGTTATTTAAAGAATATCCGTGCCTTATCACCGATCAGTGCCGACAGTGGTGTAGAAATTTACACACCCTGTAGTTCGCTAAGGGGATATTTTTTGATGTGCTGTCTGGGTCAGAAGTATTGCCATCGTATATGAATGACTGTATTTCATATATTTCCTCATTTGGATCAGGCATTAGATACGAGAGATGCAGAGTTGAGACAGCAACAGGCAGAGTTACATTTTAAGCTTGTTGAGTTACAAAATAAGAAATCTCAAGTAGATCAGCTTGTTACTCAGCTTCAGACATTTGCTAATGAGGAAGAAGAAGAAGACATAGGTAAGAAATTCGTTATTGACTGTCTCTGGCGTATTACAAATTGTTTTTGATTTATTTGAAACCCAAAATAATACAGTACAGTGGAATTGGGTGTATCCGCAATGTGTTGTACTACGATCTCCTAATCAAAAGTCTTCATCAGCAAAAATTTCGATAATGAAAGGTTTCGAAATGTGGAGGTATAGATATCTGGTGGTTATAGTTGAGGGAGTGGTATACAGAAAAATATAACCTACGTTCATACTCAATGTGCAACCGTTCGCTGGTTTCTTTTAGAGTAAAATCCCAGGATTGCCAGACATTTTTTCTAAACGATCAAAGTTAGAGAGAGGTCAATTTATAGCGGGACATTTTGTTTAAAGCATCTGGAAGAAGTTATGGCGTGCGGCAAGTGTCTGGCAGTGCTGCATATTACTTTTCGGTAATGATTTACAAAATAGATATAAAATTAGTTAGCATTATTTTAAAGTAACCTTTCTCACCTAGTATCGGTAAATTGGGCGTCTAACGTATCTAACTTAGCTTCTAAATATTCAACGGAAAAATCTTCCATATATTAAGTAAAGATAGTGTGCAGTACACCTTGGAAGCTTCTGTTTATGTTTCAACAGAGATAGCCTGTATTGATACTTGTCAAGATTGTTCTAGCATTGAAGTGTATTCGATATGTACGAGAGAGATAGAGAAATGCATAGGTTTGATTGATAGCGCGAATGGAGTATGCCCAACAAAGGCTTCTCTTGTATTAATATCTATATTTTACCAGCTGCAAAGAAAGATACCCATGTCGAAATGTAGATTTACTAAGGTTCCGATCACATCGATGGCTTTTTCCAAAGCACAATGACAGTACTGAAGGCTATTCCAGTCAGAGTTCCAATAGTGCTATGAGGAGTAGAAAAACCGTCTCCAGCGCTGTATGGCTTCGAAAGGAAGTTATTTTGAGGGTGAAAATATAAAATTGTAATTATATTTGAATAAAAAAGAGTAGTCTCATCACATGTGATCCAATAACAGGCCGAACGGTCCTGAACTTGTTCTATAACGCGCGAGGCCATATATGATATGCCGATCATGTATAGTATTTGGTGTATCAGTTACAAACACTGCATAGTTTAGGACTTCCTAAGAGCTCTGCCTCATTGGGACGCCATGGCGACGTCGCCGGCGACGCAGGCCTGGCTACTTGTGGCATCCGAGGGTCGCCAAGGCGAGTAGCCATGGCATCTCGACAGTCAGTTCGTGTTATCTCTCAAGAATGGACGCAGAAGAAATTGCACTTCTTTGTTATATACGTCGCAGAAAAAAAAACAAAAAAAGCAGATCAGTAAAAAAAAAACAATCTTATAAACAAAATTGAGAAAAAAAAAATAAATAAAAAGTATTGGTTAAAAAAAAAAAAAGAAATGTGTTTGCATCTAGTATAATAGAAATAATATACAATAGAAATATTAAGTAATGGATGTTCTATTTTCTATTAAAGCATAGCATTATACATAAGGATCTGGCCAGTTGGTCATCGACCAGTGCCAATAACAGAACAAAAAAAAAAAAAAAAAATGAAAAAAGAAAAGAAAAAAAAGAAACTATGGGTTCATCCTTTTATATCTGATCGAAACCGAAGTGGCATTTTTTTTAAACTGTATGGTGATTTACGAAAATATCCTGAAAAGTTTTTCAATTACACAAGAATGTCAATAGCATCTTTTGACGAATTATTAAACTTATGTAGAAACGATTTAACTAAACAGGATACGATATTTAGAAAATCGATTAGTGCGGAAGAAAAACTATTTGTGTCATTGAGGTAAGCAGTGTTTTATTCAAATTTTCAAGAATGAAACATCTAAAGTTAATCATATACATCTAAAATGGAGGAATCTTCTGAAACATTTGTCATATTTGACGGTGGTGCACTAAACGGTTCACTAGATAAATACTCAGTGCTGTTTATCATGGGTTGGGTTTCTCTAGGAACAGTAGAATATCCAGGGTGATAACTTTGTGACGACGACGATTCTGTTTGTGACCAGTAGTTTTGACGGTATAATGTACTACTATCAATGTTGAGCACAGGGCGGGTTGCTTCATCAAGAATTGACATTATTTTCATTTTAGTTGCCATTTTTTTTTGAGGAGGCACGTTTTTTAAGGTGCTAACTAAAGACAGTATGAATAACCTGTCGTCATCTTGATTCTCAACCTCATATTGTTCTCTACTACTAAGTTACGGTCGCAATAATCATTTGATGAACTATCCCATAAGCAAGGCCGGTTTTGAATTTCTATTATAAATTTTTCAGTATCGAAACTAATTTTTCACATCAACTATCAACTACTATTCCGAGCGAGCGTCCAAAGTGGCGGCTGACTGGCGACTGAGTGAGCGAGGTACAGCTAACATGTGTACAACATGATGGCAACGACGCCACGGCGCCAGAGTAGCCAGTCGCCACGTAGGGAGCTGTAGTTTGTGGCCACGCTTCCATCTTGGCGACGTCGCCACACCGTCGCCAAGTGAGGGAGGTACCATACATTCCAATATGAACTGTTTGGATACGTAACCGGCGACGTCGCCATGGCGTCCCAATGAGGCAGAGCTCTAAGCGTATCATTTATTCAATTGAAATAGGCTATTTGCTTTAACTTAATTTTTATAATGATTTTGACAGTTCAAAAATTAATTTTAATTAATGCTACTTGTTATTTTATAGACAAACAAATCACATTTCTTTTTAGGTGTAAAAGTAAGAAATATTGTAACAATGAAAGATCAGTTAAACAAGTTGCAAGACATGCTGGAAGTAGTGAAATCGGCTGAAACTACTATAATCAATTCAAACGCATCCTCTGAGGCTCAAGCTGCAGCCATGGATACTTGTTTGAATATAGAGAGCATATTAGAGAAGGATAATCAGAAACCGAGATTAAGGTCTACCGTGTCCAACGATAGCAATGTCTTGAGGTGAGCATTAATTTTATCTTATGTTTGTTCCGTTGAAAAAATGATAATGACATCCAAGGCGGTTCAGTAGCATGAGTTTGTTTAAATGCCTCATGTTTGAGAAGTGTCTCAACGAAAGAGGAATATGTTTTTATGGGATGGGTGAAAAAATATATGGAAACGCTCGTATTGATGTCCAGCAACTGCATCTTTCTATAAAAATAACAATATTGCCTTAGGAATATTGTGGAGTTTTGCATTACATTGATGAGCGATTGCGCCCAGGGTGAGTAAAAAAGGCTGGTTTGGCTGCAACAGCTGATGACAACCTTGTTAAAAAATGGTTAATATCATGCCTCCAGATGGTTGAGGTCTTCGTTGTTTCCGTTTCTAGACTGTTGAGGCTTTGCTGGCGACAGCTCTTCTTTCACTTATACGTTTTAAAGCGAGTGAGATCTAAAGCGGTTACTCCATAGGAAATAACAACTTCGCACTGCGGATTTTTATGGTTTCTATGAATATTGCGGTTCTAGCAATATTCGTACTCTCTCGAGGTTCCCGGTAGAATGCAAAGAACCACGTTGGACACTGCCACTAACTATTTTTATGTGGTCTGCACAGAGACATTTAGCACAAACGTTTGACATACTGAACAAATAGCTTTTGCCTGCTGCTCTAAACAAAGGGTTATGATCGTGTGACGTTTTTATTAGTGCAATCGAATAGTTGTACAAATTTCACAATAAAACATTGAAGAATTGAATATTGAATTCCATCGCATAATGGGCGAGTTTCACCAAGAAAAAATACATACAATCAACAGGGTTCGGATTAGTGCACTGGTTGTGTCGATCAGATGTTAATTAAGAAAAATTAATTTCCAGTGCCGACGTTTGTGGAACTATATTGTAGGGGCACCCATACGACATTTTGGAACTTGTCACACTATTTTGTTTATATTCAGATAGATTGATCACATATTCTGAGACATCCTGTATCCTTATATACATCTGTCGAAAATAACGTAATTAAACTTTTAGGTATGACAACGACACTAGTAGTGAAGGAAGGAATAAACAGACTAACAAGAATAAAAAGGATCAGATACTTGGACGCCAGAAATCAGCACTGCAATCCGAATTAGAAATAAAGAAGAGGGAACTTGAAGAACTAATGGGAAAACATAAAGGTAATTTAAATGATATTTTTACCTGTTCAATATTTAAAGAATAAACTATTTAAATGTATAATTTAAAATTGTGATGTCTATTCGAGGTAAAGAGCACATTAGCAGTGTTCCAATGTATTAATTTTGTACTGTCATAGTACACCCATTCAAATTTGGGAAAGTATTGTAGCTATTTACAGTGAATTAAGATTAGACTAATTAATATTTGCTTATTGATAGTAAGTGAAAAATATTGATAACACCTATCAGTGGCTGTATTCATTAACTTACAAAAAATATTTGATAATATAAATCGATGATCGATGTACTTAGGATGCCACTTTGTCGTCGTTGTACAATGTGATTTCACAAAATTTCAACAACATAGATAAAACAGTGTGTTTGATCTTAGCCTCGCGTTTAATACAATTAAATTATTAAATAAATTAGATTAGAACTTACTTATTAGGCAAGACTCAAGCAGTAAAGGTTAGTAACAGTAACAACTACGTTAAAAGGGTGGCCAAATTAGCATCTACAGGTGTACCCCAAGGGATTATCTTTGGACCATTGCTATTTATTCTGTTTATAAATGATATAGATCTTACGTGTCCTACTATATTCAAACGCTTTTTGCAGATGACACAATCTTTACTACTCATGCTTGGGATTCTCAGGAACTAGGAACCCAGATAAATAATGTATCCATTCTAATGAGTGCGGGATATAACTTGAAGCAGAACGTTTGTGTCAAATTCCCTGGTGTATATGTGGACTCCAAGCTCTCGTTTGTGAGCCAAATTGAACGCATCGCCAAAAAAATATCATGTCATTAATTTGTCATGTGGCAGCTCTGGCAGCAACTATTAAAAGTATATTACTTCGCACATGTTCATTCAACCTCAAGTTACTGCATAGTAGTCTGGGGCGGATGTCATAGAATTTATTATCCAAAAAAGAATTATTAGGACCATGCTCTACAAAAATTCGCAATATCCTTCTAGAGATCTATTAAAAAAGTTGGGCATAATGATGGTGTACTCCTTGTATCTTTCAGGGATAATTATAATCGATATCACTAGAGATGATATCATTAGCACATATAATCTCCGTGCGAATTTCAATATTGTCATATCCAGTCATAAGCTTGCTTGATCATGCCGATAGGATTGTTCAACCACTTTTACACAATTGATGAATATCTGTCACGGCCATTATGATTTTAATGCAGTGGCGGCTCGTGAGGTAGTGCCACGGTGCCATGGCACTACCTTGTCTTCTTCAAAAAGAATATTTTTTTCAATCTTCAATGTTTTACTTTATTTTCTGCTTTTTCATTTTTTTTGGTATAAATTATATGAAGTGACAACACTGACAACGTGACAACACCGCAAGCACCCGACCGACGCGACGAGACGGAAAGCATGCCTTGACCTTGACGTCATCAACTTGTGCCAATTTAGGGCCGGTCCAAATAAAAAGAGAGAAATTTTACCAGCATCGCATACGAGCGACAGAGATAACGCTACGCATGACATTTTTATATGAGGTGAATAGCGAAAGACAAGTATAATTTGTGCCAGGCACATCATCAGTCGTAATTCGTTATCAAATGATATCGGCGGTGTTTTTGTTCGGTCGGTCGTTTCGTTATGATTACGTCTAGTGCTGATTTCGGTCTTTTTTTACCTGAAAAGTGAGAAATAACGTTTTTGTTTTAGTACGTCTAGTGTTAATGAACTGCTCTGTTTTGTGATCATATTTTTTACTGTTTTATTAAAACTAGTGAAAATGAATAAAATCGGGATATTAAAAAACTCATTTAGTGGTTTTTCGCTGGATCAAAAACTGCAAATTAAAGAATTAGGACGGCCAATACCCGATTTAAAAATTGAGAAACAAAGTGGTATCGGACAAAAATCGCGCTGTCGCAAATTTAATAAAAATGTGTACGATAAAAACAGCTGGATATGTGGTTGTGAAGAAACGAATAAACTATTCTGTTTTGTATGTGTTCTATTTGGAGGTGACGAGACTTGGTCAAAAAAAGATACAGACGATCTTATACATATATGGGATAAAATGAAGACCCACGAAAAATCTAAAGTCCATATAAATAATGTTTTTAGCTTTTCTATTCTTGGTAAATTAAATATAAGGACTCAATTCGGCTTATCGCAATGATCTAATTAAACATAATAATCAAGTGGATAAGAATCGATATGTATTGAATAAAATTATTAATTGTATAAGGTTTTGTGGAGCATTTGAGTTAGCCTTAAGGGGTCATGATGAAAAGGAAAATTCGGAAAACAGAGGCATATTTAAGGAGCTGGTGAATTTTAGCGTCGAATTAGACAACGAATTGAAAGTCCATATTCAAAGTGCCAAACTTTTTAAGGGTACCTCAAAAACAACTCAAAACGAGCTTCTTGAGTGCATGCTAGATGTTTATCATGAAGAAGTTAAGAAGGAGATTGCAAATTCTCCTTTTGTTGCAGTAATTGCCGATGAAACGACGGACGTAGCCTGTGAATTTCAGTTAATTATTTTCAGATATTTGTGTAAAGGACAACCAGTTGAGAGATTTTGGAGATTTTACGTCCCCGACGGACACGATGCCAAATCAATCGCTGCATGCGTTTTAAATGTTGTAAATCCATTACTAGATCAAAATCCAAACAAATTAATAGCTCAAAGCCATGATGGTGCGTCTGTTATGAGTGGTGAATTGAATGGCGTTCAAAAAATTATTAAGGAAACTTATCCACTTGCAAATTATGTTCATTGCTATGCACACCAGTTAAATCTAATTATGACAAGCGCATGCTCTGTCAATAAGCAGGCTAGAATATCTTTCCATAATTTATCTGGATTGTGCTCTTTTTTTTCGACGTCTCCTCAAAGAACAAAAATTTTGGATGAAATAGTTAATCGCAGATTGCCAAGATCTTCCCAAACACGTTGGAATTTTCAGTCACGAGGTGTTCATACAGTTTATGAAAATAGGAAAGACCTGATTGAAGTTATGGACAATATAGAAAGTACTTCACGCGATTCTTCGTCGATTAATCAAGCCAGTGGGTACAAATTAAAGCTGCAAGATACAAATTTTGTATTTTGGCTAAGTATTTTCCATAAAATAATACCACATGTTGAAATTGTCTTTAACCAATTACAAAAAGTATGCACCGATTCTGTTAAGGTCAAAAATGATTTAGAGAATTTTGAAGCAGCAATTCAAACTATACGAGAACAAATGGATAGCATTATTGACGATATTGAACGAGTGCAGAGAGAAACTGATGAACCGGCAAGAAAAAAAAGGCAAGTTGAAGAAGGCAGCAAAAAACGGGAAGCGTTAGAAATATGCGATGCAGTATTATCGAAAATAAGAACAAGATTTAACTTTTCTGGGCATTTAGTTGCTTCTAATTTATTTGTGTCTGAAAAGTTTTCTGTTTATAAACATCAGTTTCCCGAAGCACATTTAAATGACACATGCACACAATTTTCATTTTTAGACAAAAACAGGCTTAAAACTGAGTTACAAGTATTATATCAGAGAGAAGAATTGAGTACTACTTCTGGAGCTGTTCCACTATCCATTTTATTGAACGAGGAAGGATTAAATTGTACGTTTCAAGAAACTCTTAAGCTCTTAAGTATTTTAATCACTATACCGATGTCAACATCTGAAGCAGAACGCTCTTTTTCAATGCTGAAACGGATTAAAACTTTCCTCAGAAACACAATGAAGGAAGAAAGGCTTAGTGCTTTAGGAATGCTGTCTGCAGAAAAACATTTTGTTAGTGGCATTGAATATTTTAATAATAAGGTAATCGAAAACTTTGCTACCAAAAAAGAAAGAAGAATGGACTTCATATATTATAGAAAACTTTGAAGTTATAGGTACTTCTCCACACTTGTTTTATAATTTGGTGCGCGTGTGTAAATAGTTTTATTTTTGATTTTTTTTGGACATATAGATTTATTGAACCTCAAGAACTTTGACCACTAACTATCAGGGGTAAGTTATAAGTTATTCTTTACAATTTTGAATCGATTCAAAATTATGGCTTCCATTCTGGCACTACCTCACTGAATTGGCACGAGCCGCCACTGTTTTAATGAGTTTTGATTTTAACGTGTTGTGATGTGAATGTGCCTCGATTAATGTCTATGTGTATATATTTTTTTATGTATATCTTGCTGTTCATTATAGATTATATACTCTACTCTTTGACTAATTCGAATTTGTAATTTATATAATTGACTTACTTCTATACTTGTTAGTCAGTTCTGATGGAAGATCAATAAAGGTAAAGTTTGGATCTGATACTCTTACAGTTTGCCTAATTTCATGTAGTTCTGCCTGTGTTAATTTTCTGCTTCTGATTATGTGATTTTTCTGACTCAAAAGCTCCTTAGCATATATTTGAGGTTTTACTGCCGGGTTACTTTGTCGCCAAAGCTGTTAAACCTCTTTATAATTGTCTGATACCTTTCACTGCAATAATGAAAACACCACATGAACTTCTTTGGTCAGAATCAGTGGGAAAGATAGAAGATTCATTGCAGAATTCTAAAAATAGTTCTCTTCTTGCTTGGGATACATCGTGGTTTATATTTAACATTCTTCATTGATTTTTAAATAACAACAACCCAGGAAAAAATGTTCTATAGTCAACGCCAAACAAAGTGGCGTGCACGTCATCACGATAAAAATTCCCCGACCTAATGCCTAGGTTTCTATCACAAACAATTGCTCTATTGCAGTTTCATATTAATGTGATATATAAATTGTAAAATGGTCATTACTCTCTTATTATGGTTAATAGTCATATAAACATTGTTATTAAAATATCACATAAGTTGCTTTCTGATAAATTTAGACGCATTATGCGAAATAAAATGTTTTGCAAACGCTCCAATCACATATCGACATGTAAACGCACTAAACCGATTTCGCAGCGTTGACACATTGTCACCTTGAAACTTATTTAAACTGGGAACTGACATTTGTATTAATTTTGACACTGAATCAATTTGTGGAATTTCAAATCTTTATAAATCCTTTGGCCCCGCATACTGTAAATCAACAACTGTTTGTTTCAAAACAAAATTATTCATTTTACGAGTAGATAAAGGCAATTTTGGTATATAAAGATGCCCAAACAGTTAAATAGTCGGTGTAAGGAACTCGTGGCCTCGTTAATGCACTACTTTGAGCAAGAAAGGGACAACAACGGGCCTTTGTTGCCTTTAAATGCTGTTCAAGAGGTAGGTCACTAATAATTATATGTAATGTATATTAATAATAGTGAAATTTTATTTCATTTTTTGTAGCGTGTTGCTGCTGCTTTAAAAATTAGTTTAAGGACAGTTAGTCGTATTTCCGAGGGTGTGAAAAGTGATGCAAATTTAGAATCGCCCAAGAAAAAGCGGAGTTATATTAAACGTGTAACCAACACAGCGACATTGGATACAAGTGCCATTCGAGAAGTGATCTATAATATGTATCACAAAAGTAAGATCTTATTATAATAACTTATCAGAAATTTGCATTAATTTGTTAACTAAATTATAATGTCATATTACACATGGTTTCAGAAGAACAAGTTACGATACAAACTTTATGGTCTCGATTAAGAGATAGGGCATTATTTGATGGTAGTGCCACGTCTTTAAGGCGGTTGCTTAGAGATCTTGGATTTAAGTGGCTTAAGGACAATCCGCGACGAGGGCTCATGGAACTACCAAGTATAGCTTTGAAAAGGGTGGAATTTCTAAGGCAATACAATCAAGCCAAGGTTGAGGCCTTATACCAGTTTGTCTTCCTCGATGAAACTTGGATATTTCAAAATGGGACCATAGGTCGCTCTTGGCAAAATGGAAACCAAAAAAGCGTGAAGGCTATTAAAACAGATGGTAAAAGGTATGTACTTTTACACAATTTGCACTATAAAATTTAAAACTAATATATTTTAGATACATTATATTACATGCTGGAAATGAAAATGGGTTTATTGAGGGTAGTGAAGCGATATTTTCTTCGAAAACAAAATTGAGCGATTACCATGGAGAGATGAACCAGGACAATTTTTTGAAATGGTTTCAACATCAGTTATTAGAAAAATTGGAGAGTCCATCTATGATTATACTGGATAACGCCCCTTATCACAGCATGATATTGAACAAAGTGCCCAACAATGCATGGACAAAAAAAAATATCCAAGACTGGTTGACAAATCAAAACATACCATTTTTAAACACAATGTTTAAAACAGAGCTATTGAGTATTGTTGCTCGGTACATAATGCTTCTTAATTATATATATTTTGGTCGACAGTTTATATTTCTTTTGTTTATTCCTATTCTTAAAATAACTGCTTTTTTAGAAACAAACCACCTAAAATATACGTGATTGATGAATTGGCGGAACAACATGGGCACAAAGTTCTTCGTCTGCCTCCTTACCATTGTATATTTAACCCTATTGAGTTAATTTGGGGCATAGCAAAAGGTTACTATAACAGACATATTGGTAGAGATGGTAACAGTGAAAAAGACTGTTTGGATATGTGGAACGAGGCTCTACAAACGGTTACCCCAGACATGTGGAAAAATAGTGTTCGACATACTGAGCAAGAAATTTTTAAATGGTATGAAAGAGAACGAATTTTTGATCGACCAGACATCGAACCTTTAATAATCAACTTTGAGAGTGATGAAGATTCAGATTCAGACAGCGCTGAAGAAAGAAACTCCGACTAACTTTATTGTACAGAAAAAGCTTACACCAGTAGCTTACCTAATTTTAGAATGCATTTTTCTGTATGAATTCTGTAAAATAAATACCATGCATAAAATTTGGAGGACCCCATTTGGATTTTTATTCAGTACCTTTAAGCTATCAATTAATTATGGTAGTTTCATAGTGTCATCTGATCAATAATTGTCATACTTAATGATTATGCAAGTACAGATCTATAATTTTATTATACTATTATTTTTGTTCTCATTTGAGGTTAATATTGCTTATAAACCTAGATATGTAAATAATAAATTTTATTATTTTACAAAAAGTTTGGCAACAATGTAAATTTTTCAACACACCCACCTTGATGACGTGCACGCCACTTTGTTTGGCGTTGACTATAGTACGCTTGATTGAGCGTCTCCCATGAAACACTGCACGCCAGTAGCTCTCACCTACTTGGTGTCTTCTTTTCTAATTTTGTTAGAAAATATATGTTAATGCTGTCAGTGTCAAGCTTACTCCAGAAAATGGTTAAAACTCAAAGAAATCTGCTCTGGTGGTGATGCCTTAAATAGATAGCTTGAGAGGGATTCTCGGTTCACAGGAAACAGCTCAAAATAGTCATATGCTTGGTGAGCCACAAAAACTTGGCTTATAGTTGGGACAGGCACTTCACACTAGTGTACTATATTATATATTATTATTATTATTATTATTATAACAGTGTACTTTCTTGGTAAACCTTCCCTTTCTATCCATTCAAGTAGGTTAACTGCTCCTACACGCGTTCGGTTTCTAATTCAAATGTTTTTCTTGTAGCCAGTACATCGAATCTGAATCATGACGTTGGTTTAGATATCAAGTCAGAATTCAGTTACACTAGCAACGCGGTAAATGAGGCATGGCCTGCTGTATCGTCTTCTCAGCGTCATCAAACTGATTCGGATAGATTTTCGAGGTAAGTTTTTAGTTTTACTAGATTCTCATCTGCGTTTTTAACAAAATTGAATTTTTCAAGGAGGATGGGCACAAATACATGATTTTTGGTAACCCAGTCATAAATTATTTGAAATGACTTTCCATGTAGGATAAGAAAACCTTTGACGATTTTGCTAATTGGTTGTTCGATAGTTTGTGTCGCTGCAACTGATTAATTGCAGGTATGACATTTATTTCTAAACAATTTCGTAAAATTTTGATTTTATCTGCTAACTCATCAGGTTTATTTTGAACATTTATTCGAACTTGAATAGTACATATACCGACATCCTGAAGGCGCAAGTGAATAATAAACTAAAATGAATTCTTTGGTTTGTTTTTTGCTAAACGTCAAAAACAACATAAACATATGTCAAAAAGCGTGTTGTTTCCAAAAGACAGTGTACAATACGCCGCTGTTGAAAGACATTTTTGCACCTGCCACACTTTTCCGTTTTTTTTTGACAAATAAATAAAAAATGTCAATTTTTCAATGGAATATATTAGAATGTAAAAGGTGGATTTGATGATTTTTGATGAAGCAACAGTATCCAATCCATGAAGACTAATGTCGTACTTAGGAACATCCAAGATATCGGAGGTTATGACTCCACATCTAATCTTCAAGTTGGAATAAATGCTAGAAATAACTTGAGCCTGATCAAGTTACAAACAGAAATAAAAGTGACAGCAACATCATAAAAATCGCTAGTCTTCGAGATATCATTGCTCACATAGGTCAACAAATAGCAAAATTCGCGTTGGTTTTTCTTGTTCTACACAAAAAGACCTTTCAGATACGATATACAGGGTGGCCCAACGAAAAGGTCGCATCCCCATTGGTGACTCTCCTGTTATATTTTGGGAAAAATGCTTGGACACGTCAATTTTGATTTCTAGGGGGTCTTTTCATATAAAACCGTACGATACAGGGTGATCCAAAAATAAGATGTTGTGTTACAGTTTAGATTTTTAAATGGAAACCCCCATTTTGCTTTAATTTTAGATTTTCCATTCTATTTAGGTATAAACTTTTGTATAATAAAGTTTATACCTATCTTTAATCGTGAAGCTATTTGAGTTTATAATAAAATTATAGAAATTGTGATAATAATATTGTAAAAATAATAATCAATATAGTTCCCATAGTGACAAGAATTTACTTTAAAATTAAAAACAAGTCTTGCTCGCTACACATCCCACCACGGTAATGCTTGCAGTATTTGATTATGGTGGGTAAGGTTACGATAAGTACTCATACCAAAGGTATTGGTCATCTTATTCCTATGTATTCATATGTACAGCGTGGCCAACGAAGTTGCGGAAAAAATAGTTATTACTAAAATGGTCAAGAGAAAATCCTGGAAAATATTTCCAAGTTTCTGAAATGGTCACTACGGGTCATAACTGCAATCTTGAATCTAAAAAGATAATGTTTCTGTGAATTTCGCTATATTAACCTAACAAAAAAATAAGTGATCTTTAAATTCGAGGATAATCTGAACTTTTTCGTTTGACAATTTTTGCTGTAACTCTAAAAATAAAGTGGTGGAGGGTATTCAAAGGTTTCCGTAAAAAACCCTAAATCTTCGAAACGGCTGAGCCGAT